CACGTGTGCATCGGAATCGCAAAGGAATATTTCCCATTCTTTGGCAAATGCCTGGAACTCCCAGTATCTCACGTGGTGGGTGGCCCTCTTTGACACAACACCGAATTCAGCTGACGTATGAGACTCAATTAATCTTGGTGGGCTAACGGTCGCCACACAGAAAAATGTGACAGGCCACAGTCTGTTAATGTCACATAATAACTGCCGCGGTATTGAGTGATATCCATGCTGAGCCAGTACCAAGTATTGTTCACTCCCAGTCTGCCCTTTTGTCAATGGACTTGTGCAGGATCTATTGCTGTGCAGGTCTCAGTAGCCGTCTATACCATGGTCTTCACCCCGGAAGCGCAAACACCCCTCCCAAGATATATGGTGCATCCTACTCCTTGATGTTCACTGCTTTGGTGTACTTTTTGGACTGCGACTCATGCTTTCCAGAGAAGCAGCAAACACCTGCTTCACAGGCGCAGCCTCATTTTGGGCCATATCGTACCATCTTTGGGGTACGCAGGTCATCTTATATGCCAAGTTCTGGTTTGACCCAACTAGCACCACGTCAACTCGTATTCTTGAACAAGTTCCTTCATTATGCTCAACCTTCTTCACACCAGCAACTCGCTCGCTGCTTTGGTGCGTAAGCTAGTTTTTCCCGTGAAGGTGTAAGACAGCCAGTGTACACATACAAGGTCTGCAACTGGAGTGCCAATCTGATGCCTTTGATTGCAGCATCTAGTTCAGCCAAGTTGGTATTAGGCGTCGTTTTCTCGCTGAAGCCAGTATGTATCTTCCAAGTTTGCCCAACTTTTTACAGCAAAAACTTCCTTCGCTAGGGAACTTGCATCGACCAATACGTTGATTTCAAATGTGTTCACACACCAGTCGCCCGGGCCGCATCTTCCTGACAAACTCTGTTCACAGTTTTCTTCACCATCTGCTTGAGCTGGTTGCTGTCAAATTGGTCATCATAACCCTTTGTTACTTTGTTTGCCCGCCGCTTGATGAACGCGACCGCCACACGCAGCCATCCACACACAGGGAGACGTTCCATCAGCTTCCCGCACAGTGAGAAGAAATTCAGCTGACATGAGGGACATCTGTGATCACGCTTGCACGCGTCAATCACAGAGTGTTACGCTCCCACGATATTTCCAGTCCGTGCACGCATGCCCCCCACATTTCAAACGTTCTGTGTCTTTGGACGTACTCGACCATTTTTGACCTGTAGCTCTCATTGGTATACACATCGTCAATGTACGCCGACGTCGCTCTCTCTAGAGGCGCCATACTGAGGCCGAATCCCAACCGCATTAGGCAAAACCGCTTCCTATTGATCATTACGTTTTGATATGGCCACAGTGACTTATGCCACATTTGCTCCTTGACGGCACTGTTGCACCTTACAAACGTCAGAATTTGCAGTGAATGCAGCAATGTGTTCGTTGGCTCGGATAGTCCATCACTAGGCGCACCTTAATGGTACTAAGCCCATGGCGGCCCCTGTTTCTTTTTGGGGTATGGTATTATCTAACTATTGCTGATCCATATCTGGAGTTCTTGTTCATAAGCATCCTTAATGTCCTTTGAAACAGGGTACTCATATAACCTGTTGCGGAATTGGGCCGGCACCACAACGGCTGTCCATTTTCATTCTGCAGTCCAGACCCTTTGCTTGTGGTTGAACTCCACATAAAGGTCAGCTAGGTCAATATGGATCGCCACGCTTGTTGAAGTTTTTAACCGTACGACTTCAGTCTGCGTGATATTGATGACATATAATGCAATTATCGTATCGATTCCGGCAAGCAGGTCAAGCATTAGCGGTTTGTCACGCACCACGAGGACTTCAACCTCGGCTGAGTTGCCAATATCTGTGCAGATATTAGCTGTCCCGACAGTACAGCACGCCTGCATTCTGCCACCGATCGTCTCCACAACAACATGGATCCCAGTCCACATCTTTCTGTCCAAACGATCGACCGTGAACAGCCAGAGTCAATGAGAGCTGAATATCATTTCCCGTCAATCATTGCATTGACTACAGTCGGCGTTACATTTACATCTGTACGGAGAATGAGACAGGTTCTGAGGTCTGTTCCTTTGATTCGCTTCCCTGAGCATTTCTGCGATATATGGCCCAGTTTGTCACAGCGATAACATCGTTCGCTTTTGTCTCGTTGCCGGTTCCCAGTTTGCCCAGCTCGTACAATCTATCTAGTCAATGAGCATCATCACATCCGTGACAGCCGACATCGCTCTTCGGAAGTGGATTCTGGTACCCAATTGCCCAGGCAGCTGCCGCAATCAATTCAGCCACCGGCTCATTAAGCATTACAGTATGGCTCTAGCCCGTTATAAAAATTGGTCGACATCCAGTACATTCATTCATGAGGAAACATGAAGTACCCTCCTGACGTGCTCTGTCAACCCTGCTACAAATGCACGCGCAAGTACACGGCCAGACACCCCACCGTACAAGGTTAACAGCCCCTGGATGCCTTCTAAGTAGGCAACCATAGATTCGTTTGAATTCAAGCACCTAGCTACGTAGGTCGCATGGATCTGTGGTAAAGGCAGCATACAGACTGTCCCTGATATGGCCTACGTCTTTCCTTTATTCCTTGTTTAGTTGTTGGTACACAGCAAACGAACCTCCTGTCAATCGGAGTGACAGAACGCTAACAATGTTTTTCAGGTCCCCACCAACCGTTTCAGACTTTTCAAACCATTCAACACTAGAAAGACCCCGGTATGAACCCTCAAATTTGGAGATTAGCCTCATTGTCGAACCTGCCGTCTACCATGAGTGCCGAAATAGCTCGTTCTAATGTAAGCAAAGTGTGTGTTGAGAGTGTGTGGAAACTCCTAATCGATTATTCTTCCAGTCACTACGGCAGTAATAGGCAGAGAGGGGGAAAGAGACGAGAGGTAACAAAAATAACACTGCCTCGAAAACAACAACTTGCCAATTGCTGGTTTTCCCATTGCCTTTGTTAGCCTGAGGCATCTAACAAAGACCTGTGTCTTGACCATTTACAGAGAGGCCCGGAACTAGACATGCCAAGCTGTTCCGCTGCTAGCGGGGAAAACACGGATGTAACTGATATTGACAAACATGTAAGCATGCGATCCGGGGTCACTTTTGAGTCTCTGCCGATGCGTGTTCCCCACAGGAAGGCAAGACAAATGATGACTGACATCGGTTGGAACTTAAAACGGGAGAAAAATGCATGTTCTTTTGCTATCTTTTTTCAGTATCACCGCATACAAGGCAATAAATCCACTAAAACACAAGTGGTTATATTTAAATTTCTGCAGATTAAACTTGACAGGAAAACATGGAGACAGAAGGGAGTTCCACAAGAAAGGCAGTAAAGTCACTAAGACACAAGGGGTTACTGGGTGTGGAAGAATTAGGAACAGAAACATTAATGATGACCAGAAAGAGAAGAGAGTAATCAGGAGGACGGTAGATAGCGATTGACATTGCATTTAAATTTTCGCAGATTAAAGTGGGCTGGAAAGCATGGAGCTGGAATGGAGTTCCAATGAAGGCAATAAAGCCACTAAGATACAAGGGTTACAGTGTGTGGAAGAATTAAGAACAGAAACATTAATAATGAGCGGGAAGAGGAAAAAGAAATCAGGAGGACAGTAGATAGCGATTGACATTACATTTAATTTTTTGCAGATTAAATTTGTCTGGAATGTACGGAACTGGAAGGCAGTACCACAAGCGAGAAGTGCGAGAAAAAAAAACTGTTAGCAAAGAACTTACGGCAAAATTTAACCTGTTCAACTGTAAAGCTAATCTAGTAAAGAGCTTAAATTCAAAGAGTCTAGGTACCATAGCAGTGGGTACATCCGAATAATTGCCATGAAAATACAGACACAGAGATGCAATTTTACGGTAGTGTGAAACTGATTGAATGTTATTTTTGAATTCAGTATCCTAAAATTGGTCAAAACTAACCAAAACAGCCTCCACATCATTAAAAAAAAATTCTAGTCTTATGCAATTTTTGACATTAAAGTTATGGAAGTACAATATCAAGAAAGGTAAGACAAAATAAAAGATGGCTGACGTCTGCTGGAACTTAAAATAGGAGAGATATAATAACCATTTACAAAAATCGCATGAACGAAGGTTCTTGCCATGACAATTATTTGCTTTTAATATTCAAATTTTAATCAATTATTTTGTTATGTATTCTTTCGTATTTCAGAGGTAGTGCTTTATTTCACACTAAGATCGCGTTCAAGTTTCACGTGGGCATTTATTTTTTCTTTGCATTTATATTGACCTAATCCAATCTTGACCATTCTTACATAGGAGCATTTTTGGATCAGGAAAACTAATCCTAATTGTTGAAAATGGGTGTTACTTTTTGGATCCAGTATCCCAGAATTGTACAAATCTATCCAAAATATCACATGCACAATTTTAAATTAAAAAAAAAAAACAAACTGTGTAGGCCTTTATAATATATAGAACATATACATCATTCTCATCCGTGGTAGAAAAGTGTAATGGTCAGACAAAAAAGCAAGATAATAATGAAAACGATCATGTAAGATTTTCAAAACAATATATTCAGTCTGTTATAAATGGACACAAAATAAAACAGAAAAACTAAACCTAGTGGTACACATTAATGTTATTTTTAGATCCAGCATCCAAGAATTATAAAAAAAAATAAAAATAAATAATCAAAACATGCCATGCATCGTTAAAAAAAAAGTTCTAATCTTGATTTATTTTTGCAATTTTTATTTTGGAATTTACAATTCTTGAACATATACATATCCGAAAATCGTAAAACATTTAATTCTCATCGAATTTTTAGCAAATTTTAATAATAATCAGAATACAAGAAGACAAAGAGTCCAAACTAGTTTTGTTCAAGGTAAACGAAATTCTTCCTGAAAGCTTGTAAATAGGATCTTCAAATTTATTTACCATCTTTCGATAGTCGAACCCGGATTCAACATCCTCTTCAGTATTAATAATAATAATAATTGTAGTAATAGTCGTTCCACCACCATGGATCCATATAGCGTCCTTGCATGTCCATCCAACGTCCTTGGAAGTCCATCTGCCAGTTGGAGTAGTCCATTCCGGGGTAGTCCCATCGGCCATACCAATAATAGTTCTGGTAGGGGTAGTACATATGTCTACCTTGCCAGTTGTACCAGTAAGGGTTGTTATGGCGTCCCTGCATATCCATCCAGCGTCCTTGCATATCCATCTGCCAGTTGGACATATCATAGTATCTCTCGGGGTAATACATGTAGTAGTAGTTATAGTAACCGGGGTGGTTCCAGTAACGATTCCAGTAGTTGTAGAAGTGAGAGAACGGGTTGCAATGACGTCCCCACCTGTCCATGTAGCGTCCTTGCATATCCATGGAATAGTTGGACATGTCCATCCATCTCTCAGGGTAGAACATATTGCTGCCGTAATGGAAGCCGGGATAATAACCGTGTCTCTGGTGCCACCAATGACGGAACGGGTTGCAGTGTCGTCCCTGCATGTCCATCCAGCGTCCGTACATGTCCATCTGGTAGCCAGACATGTCCATGTACCTCTCGGGGAAGTCCATCCAGCGATAATACCTGTTGTACCTGTCACCATCCATCATCCAGCTGTAATTGAACATGGGTCTTCCGTAGTAACGGTCGTAGTCGTACCATCTTCCGTAGTAGTCGTAGTATCTGGGGTCGACCATTCTGCCCTGGGAGTCCATGTATCTTCCGTGGAAGTCCATGGTCATTCTGGACATGGGTTCCATCATACCCCTGTATCTACCCCTGTAGTTGTTGCCGTACCAATTACGGAATCGGTTCATGTAGCGATTCATGATGAAGTCTGAGCAGCGGGTAAAGCTGTTAAAAGAAAAAAGAAACATCATCTTTTAGAAGAATATTCCATTTGACGGAAAGAGTTTAAATATCGTCTTTTCTAAAGGACACAATATCGTACCACCTTCACTTTTGCATATCATTCCTCCTATTTCGCTGTCTGTTCATATCTATCTATCTATCTATCTATCTATATATATATATATATATATATATATATATATAAGTCTGCTCCTATCTATCTCAGTTTGATCCTATCTATCTATCTATCTATCTATCTATCTATCTATCTATCTATCTCAGTCTGCTTTATCTAACTATCTATGCACGGAAAAGTGCTGAAAAGTTCTCGACCTGAAGGAAAAGCCAGCACAAGATCCAAAATACTCTTGTATTTATGGGGATATGTACCATAAATTTGCGGCGTACAAGTCGAGTTTTCCAACCTAAAGAATATCTCCAAAACTCGGCGTCGACTTATACGGCGGGCATAAAATACGAATATCTACCAACGAGTTGTAAACAAGTGGGATAGTACTATTAACAATTACTGGACACATTTACCCTACCACTATCAGGATGCCATATATATATATATATATATATATATATATAGAGGTAACTATACTCGTTTCGGAAAACCCTCGAATTTTTGATTTGCCAATAATCAAATCAATCTCGATGGAAAAAAAGGTTTTAAAAAAATGAAAGATCTAGATACATGAAAGTCTGTCGAAAAAAATCGCACAGATACAGGTTTGAAGCCCAAAGAAAAAACCCCGATACGAGTAAGCTTAGGTGAAACCTGGGTATGTTTGTCTAACTCACTAGGTTTATCTATTAATATATATATATATATATATATATATATATATATATATATATATATATAACTTGTGTTTTTAGCGAACATATTTTGGCCTATTAGCACAAAAAAAAATAATATACAATAATAAAATAAACACAAAGTTAGTATTCTATTAACGCTACATCACGAATCGCGTCCAACTGCTAATACACTAAGTGTAAAAACTGACTGAAGCGCCGTTTAACTCAAGCGTTCATTTAGACATCTAGGTGAGGTAAGCTTGTCATCTGCGCAATTTCATGATAATAATGACAGTTTAATGACAGAATGGCAGTTTATTGAATATATAGAGTCGTAAGTCGACATATATGTAGGACTAACTAAGAATTTTGAGCAAAAAATCTTAATTAGATTTGAACGTCGCAATTTACGATATTTGTGAATACTGTTGTTTCAGTGTGTGCAAATATTGTCCACTTAAATGTTTTATACCATCATGGATTATTTTAAAGTGTAAAACATATAGTTTTGAAATTCGAGAAAATTCTGATGTTTGAATCTTTTAACCGTTATGGCGTTATAATTGTACGGCAGTTTCTGATTTATTTTTATTTTCTAATGCTGATTTTTTTTGTTTTTATGATTTGAGAATAATTGCTGACAGTCTCAGTGAATGGATGTATTTTTTTTATCAGTCCCCCAAAATGTAGAGAATTGATTATTTATGCATCTATTCATTTATTTATTTATTTTTTATTATATTGTATATTATTATTTTTATATATTAAAATATATAATCTAATTATTTATTACTGGCAGCCATACCGAACTGGCCTATCAGAAAAAGCGTTCTAATAAAATGGAGCAAAAACAGCATCATGTTTAGATATAACAGTATTTTTCAATTAATTTAAAGTACTTTCATTAAAAAAGCATTTTGAATGAATACAGTTACTGATATTACAGAAGAAGTCTGTATTTATTCAATCGAAGTTAGCCGAGGACATGAAGGAGTAAAACAGACAACATGAAGACCCACTTCAGACTACAATTATTTTGAAGGTTTTGAAATTCAATTTGTCAGTGTGCTACCAGGGATGTGAAACAGAATATATTTATAAAGCAATTATTAAATTTAATGAAAATTGGTTGAAAATCAACGAAAAATAAGAAAGAAACCAGTAAAAATTACTATTTTTTCTCTCTTTACGCAGTTTTTTACTGTATGTGTGCACTCAATTATCAAGTTAAATTATTGTTAAACAATCAACTGTTGGTTACAATTGAGTGAAGTTTGTGCTAGATTGCTTGAAAATTGAGGGAGCTTTTACTTTAAAATTTGTGCTGAAATCGTTTTTCGCAGTTTTTCGCTAAACGCAGTGGCGTAGAAATAAAAATGCGATATTCTTGAGCTCGTCATGATGTCAGTAACCGACATAACGAGTTTGAACGAAATCGGAGGAAAAAAGCCGGAAGAGAGTTCCACAAGCGAGAAGTGCGATAGAAGAAACTGTTAGCACAGAACTTACATCTAGCCATTAGTACGAAGAGGAAAGTTCATCACAACAATTACCATGAAAATATTTATAGAAAAGACTCTATGTTACGGCAGTGGGAAAGTGATTGCTACCGAGATGCCAGGTCAGGATCAATAATATTGCAGAAGCACCAGACCAGATTTTAGAGCAATAGTCACAATCAAGTGGCTGATATCTTTGGTCCATGTTAACTTGATTGAAGAACGGTGGTGCAATCTGAAGAGGTCGGAAAGCTTTTTTCTAATCGTTTTAATAGAGGAATGCATTGAAAAAGCAAGAAGAAAGGGATTGTCCATAGCTAGTGGTCACCCATGATCAAAACTGAATGCAAACATTACTGATAGAATATAGCGATGATATGCATATTCTAAATGCGTTGCTAATAATTTAACTATGAAAAGGTACACAAAATTAGGAAGGAAGGTTAATCGTGACATAATTAATAATTCAAGCATTACGGAATAAAAGGAACAATTTATGATTTTACTATATGAATTCATTAGAAATGAGAAAGAAGGTATTATCAGTGGTCAGGAATTAACAATGCAAGCATTGGTGAATAAAAGAAACAATTTATGATTTGTCTATATTTCTGTGATGAGGTATTATGTACATTATTTACATTATTCGGACTATTAACAGGAGATAACTGATAACTGACACCTATTAATCATCGCACGTGGAACTAGAACAGTCTACCCCAGTGAGCGAAAGAAAGTGTTAAGTTCGACATTCCAACCACCTGAAGAAAGCCGGAGCGTACAACGGCCGAAACGTTGTAATAAGCATTGCTGAATAAAAGAAACAATATATGATTTTACTATAGGAATTCATTGGAACAAGAAAGAAGGTATTATCAGTGGTTAGGAATTAATAATGCAAGCGTTGCTGAATAAAAGAAACAATATATGATTTTACTATAGGAATTCATTGGAATAAGAAAGAAGGTATTATCAGTGGTCAGGAATTAATAATGCAAGCATTGGTGAATAAACGGAAATTCATGATTTTACTATAGGAATTAACTGGAATAAGAAAGAAGGTATTATCAGTGGTCAGGAAATTATAAATACACCATTTCTTGTGAGAGAGAAGCACTAAAAGTTTAAACAAGTTTTTTTTTTTTAGAGTGGACGTATGACGAATTTTCAACTCACCTGTCAAGTCACTGGAGCTACTGAGCTAAAGCAGAAGCAAGGAGGTTCTCGGTGTGAGACAGACAAGACTTGTGAGAGGTCTCCTTATATAGGAGCCTAGCTGCTGGGCGTAACACATCAACTCCACATACCAAGAAAAGAAAAGAAAAACAAACAAAAAAAAGCAATAAGATTAAAATGATTAAACAAAATCATGACACCACGACCTGGTTTGTTAATTAAATCGCGAAAATAATTTTGCCTGCTATGCTCGGGTTTGGGGTGGGGCTGAATATGGGCATAGTTGAGGGGTAGTGATGAAATAACATTTAGAGCTCCATGCGAAAAAAAATCGCTACCGACGGTTCAGATTATATATGGCGGGGGCAGTGAAAAATGAAAGATAAAAACATCGAACTGGATAATAACAGAGATTGTATTCTGATCAATGGGGCCCTAAATTAAACCTGACAGGAAAAAGAAACAGGAACATTTTTATTTAAAACCTTGGTTCTCAAACATTTTTCCTATGGAACCTAGAAGTCCATGTAACACAACTGAGGATCCCCACACAAAAATATCAAATTGGGAGTCCATAGAGAAATTTCGATTCGGAATGGTTGTTTACAAATGGGAATTGGACTTTGTACAGTAATCTACGCCATTTTGTCTGGAAATAATTCCAGAGTTTCAGAACTGATCAAATTTTGTCCTAAAACTCTTTGCTAATGTACCTAGACTGTATGTATTTGAGCGCAATACTAGACTGACGGTGCGATCGCATCAATTTAAATTTGAGCTAGCTAGATTTATCTGTAACTTCCATATTAACAGTTTCTTTTCTTGCACCTCTCGCTTGTTGAATTCCATTCCGGCTCCATGATTTCCAGCCAAATTTAATCTGTAAGAATTGGCATGCAATACAAATCGCTATCTACTGTCCTCCTCGATGATTTTTTTTTCTCTTTCTACTCATAGAAAGGTTTCTGCTCCTAATACCCTGTAACCCCTTATGTGTTAGTGGCTGTACTGCCTTGCTTGGGGTGACACTGATCAAAAAATCCTATTTAGCATAACAGATTGGATTTTAGAGGTTTTCCGAAAATGCGCAAACAAAAATGACTTAATCAGTTTCTGTTCCCACCAGAGCCAAAAAATAGGGCCAAGACAAATCAGATGTTTTACCTGACAACCCTTCGAATACGGAGATGAAAACTGGAAAAAAAAACGTTTTGATTGCTTGAATACTAACATTATTGTATCCTTAACGCAAGAAAAGTAGCCTAAGTACCAAAAGTCGTCACCACTATTGACAACGTAGGCACTTCTGACAACAAACACACAAAATTCATAGTACTACCCTTCAGCAAAAATTGAAAACAAACTAGTTGCCCCCAAACACTAGAATCTTTGCCACCACCGCTAAGAGAATCTAGTTAGGGAGGAAAATAGATCCAACGGATAACTGCTACCCTAGCGAAACGCTAAAAGCATTTAAATGCCTGCATCTACGAAAA